TGCCCCGCAACCACCACCCCCATGGCTGTCCCCACTCCTTTCCAGAGCCACCTTCCCCTCTCACCAACCACCCACTTGTTGAATCTACGGATGAAGATCTTGATTTGGCTGAAGTCGGGGCGCTCAGCTGGCTCCTGCGCCCAGCAACGCTCCATCAGCACTGCCAGCTCCTCACTGTGCACCCCAATGTCGATGGAGGGGCGGAAGAAGGGCTTCTGGCTGTTACGCACCTTCTGCACGATCTCTGTTGGGAGGGGTGGCTGATGGTGAGCACCAGACCTCCACAATGGGGACAAGACCTCCCCACACCTGTCCCCGCCCTCACCTTTGGGGCTTAGGTCCATGCCCTCGATGTAAAAGGGGCCGTTGCGCAGAGCGACCTCCTGCACAATGATGCCGAAGCTGTAGACATCAGCTTTCTGCATACCCGGACTGGGCAGGTGTCCCTTCTGCAGCAGCTCCGGTGCTGTCCAGAGCTTTTCTGGTGGGACACAGCCACGGAGCGGTGAGACAGGGCCACCCCATTCCCCTGGTCCCCCTGAGCAGGCACTCACTGGCATAGAGTGCATGCGTGTCCTCGCTGTCACAGGGTGAGCGGAAGCTAGCTAGTCCATAGTCAGTGATCTTCAGCACAAAGCGGCTGTCCACCACGCAGTTGGATGACTTGAGGCTGCCGTGGTGGCCAATGATGCTGTTGTGCAGGAAGGCCATTCCCTGTGACAGACAGACACAGTGAAACGGGTATCCCTCAGGCACCTCCCCCCAGCCCCTCATGCCCCTAGCCTGGGTACCTTGACAATGTCATTGATGAGGGAGTAGCGAAACATCCAGTCCAGGTTGATGCTCTCATTCTCCAGGACATCCTGGAGTAGCACATTGAATGGAACACACCAAGCATCCAGAGCATGGTGGCATCAGCACAAGCCTTACCAAGCACCCACTCACCATGGGGTCTGCAGCACCCTCCCTCTCCTCTCTTTTCCCCTCCCCTGGCCTCTGACACCTGCTTGGGCAGCTCAGCTGCGAGTCTTGCAGGGCCCAACCTTTATGCTGATTCTTGTCTTTAACAGCCATGTCACCAGTAGTGTCAAAGTGTCACCTCTGGTGTCCCCAAGTCCCCCTACCTGCAGGCTGCCCCGTGGGCAGTACTCAGTGATGATGCAGATGTTAGGGGGATCGATGCATGCCCCGATGAAGCGAGTCAGGTGGTTGAACTGGATGTCTCGCATCTGCAGGTGTAAGTAAGAGGAGCCAAGGTGGTTTTGAGGTCAGAGACAATGGCCTGCTGCTCCCACCAGCCTCCCACACTGCCAGGCCCAGTCCCTGCACTCCCAAGAGGGCTGCCCA